TATTGCAGAAACTCCAGTCAGAGTGTAGATTACTACTGCCATTGCTACCAGAGGCAGACAGATGACAGATATCACAGTGGCCATGGCTACATTGGTAGCAAGCATGTTGTTTTGGTTTTTAATTCACAGCCAAGGAAAATATAAGTTGCATAACTAATTGCTTGTGAACCCTATTTTGTCAAGATTGTAAAAGAATCTTGGGGCCTTCAGCCTCCAACACAACAATAGGTGGGAAATAAATGGTTAAAAGTGTAGAAAAGTTCCAGCTATTTACTTTTGAGGAACACTGCTCTTGTAGCTAAGGAATGACTGGAGATGTGAAGCAGAATAAGTAGGCCAGTTCACCAGTAATAGCTTGGCTTTATAACTGCAAGAGAGACAACAGCAATTAGTTGTTCATAGTAAGGGTCCAAAGCAGACAACACTGAAATGTTGTATAAGCCCTACCTAAATTACACTACTTGGCATAGTTTGAGCATCACCATCCCCTTTACAGCTTATAATGTTTATTTAAACCTATGATCATACAGTGGGGCAAAAAAGTATTTAGTCAGCCACCAATTGTGCAAGTTCTCCCACTTAAAAAGATAAGAAGAGAGGCCTGTAATTGGCATCATAGGTAGACCTCAACTATGAGAGACAAAATGAGAAAAAAATCCAGACAATCACATTGGCTGATTTGGAAAGAATTTATTTGCAAATTATGGTGGAAAATAAGTATTTGGTCAATATCAAAAGTTCATCTCAATACTTTGTTATATATCCTTTGTTGGCAATGACAGAGGTCAAACGTTTCCTGTAAGGCTACGTTCACACTAGCCTTGTGTGCAGGCGGCAGAGAGGCGTTTGGGAAGCGTTTTTACCACTTCCCAAACGCCTCTGCCAACTCTGCACATTACAGCACATGGTGCTGTTCTAACAGGAGCGTTTGCGTCGCGTCGCGTTGCGTCACGGCAAAATGGACGCCTCTGGTCGAGTCAGGAGGCTTTGAAGCCTCCTATTCTCGTCTATGGTGCCGCTCCGCAAACGCCCGGCCGGCGTTTGCGGTGCGGTTGCGACGCGGTTGCGGGGCGTTTGCGGAGCGGTAACACCACTCAAATGCATTATAGGCGTTTGTGGGGCGTTATTAACGCTCAGCAAACGCCTAGCAACCACCACTAAACCGCGCATGCGACGTTTGCGGAGCGTTTGCCGAGCGTTAAAAACGCTCCGCAAACACCGGACCAACGCTTGCCAAACGCTATAGGGGCGTTTGGCAAGCGTTGGCAAAACAGCCTAGTGTGAACGAGCCCTTAGTCTTCACAAGGTTGGCACACACTGTTGCTGGTATGTTGGCCCATTCCTCCATGCAGTTCTCCATCTTTTTAAGTGGGAGAACTTGCACAATTGGTGGCTGACTAAATACTTTTTTGCCCCACTGTATAACCTATTCCAAAGACTTTGAGTTTAGCAGAACAGACTGAGCTGACCTCAATGCACACAGAGTTCTGGTGGCCTCTTAAAAATCATCTATGCAAATGCATATGTGGACTTTAGGTCCACTGCCACAACATTCATAGGTGACCTTACCTGTTTATTGGTGCATGCTGCCTACAAGTCTGACCAGTCACTGATCGTCAGACAGATACTTCTGTTTCTTTGTCCCAATTAAGGAACCTTCCTGAGCAGTAAGCCGGTCCACAAGTTTTACAGAAAATGCAGCAAAGTACTTAAACTGTTAAAAAAAAATGCAGAAAGTTACAGTGAAAGGGAACAAGTGCCGAAAAAAGAAAATCCACTACAAGGTTGTACAGCACTAGCAGTTAGCTAAAGAGACACAACATCAAACAAAACCTGTGTTTCAGCTTCTTTTGATTAAAATTAGATACCCAAGTTGTTTGATAAGCAATGACTTAAAGTATATGTATACCCTCTCCTTGTAAATAAAACAACCTATACATTTGTATATATATATATATATATATATATATATACATAAAAAAACTTTATAAATAAAATTTATAGTTTAAAGTTTGTTTTATGTGAATTTCCTCTGTTCTCAGCTGCAGCAGGAACCCAGGGAGGAGAAACAGCAGCACACCAATTTTCTCAGTGAATAGCTGTGCAGAGAGGGGGGGGCACAAGTTTGAACATTGGAGGAGAGCAGACTGAGTTTCCAACACAGCTAGAGAATGTATCATGCTGTGCTCTCCTGCATAGTGTGGTCAGTTTTTGATAGGAAAGTAGAAGGACTAGCAGGAACATCAGGAATTTCACACAAGAGAAGCAATACAAAGAGAACAGGATACTTTTTCATACAAGTACATGGTACAGCAGGCACATATCAGGAATACAAAATGTTGGGTTTACATATTCATGTTGAGATATCCAACTGAGTTATGTGAACAATGTCCTTTTTTCAGCACAGCGGAAATAGCCCATGCTTATTGAAAAGACAAGTCAAAGTGCAGCAAGAATGTGTCATATACAGTAACCAAAGGAAGCCAATCAGAAGTCATCTCTTCACTGTCTGTATTACAGTAATTGATTTCTAGTTACAGTACACATCATGTGTAGTACTTGATGAATCCTGCTTGAAAATGATTGAATATGTTTTTAATAACCTGGAATATTTCAAATCATTTGGTCTTATAAAGTGATAGAAGCAATTCTCTTTAAAACAAGGGCTTTTGTTTTTTTGAACAACGGCTGGACCAGGGGAAATGGAGTTGTACCCCTTTATTAAAACTACTCTTCTCCAACGTACAGTTGTGGAGCTTGTAAATGCGTACAGACTAACTTATTGTAGTATGTGTTGCTAATGTAACTGTACACTGATTGCCTCACATGCACACGTCAATCTGCAATTGTGACATCTGTAGGATGCTGAAAGTAAAATCTGGGTGCAAACCAATGGCCGAAGACAGAAAACTCCATACTTGGAAGAAGACTAGAAGTGAAGTCAGAGTGACAAGCAAAGTCAACTCATTGTATAAACTCTTTACAAGGCCTGTAGATACACTATATTGCCAAAAGTATTGGGATGTTTGCCTTTACACACAACTGGACTTTAATGGCATCCCATTCTTAGTCCGTAGGGTTCAATAGTGAGTTGCAGCTATAACAGCTTCAATTCTTCTGGGAAGGCTGTCCACAAGGTTTAGGAGTGTGGCTATGGAAATGTTTGACCATTCTTCCAGAAGCGTATTTGTGAGGTCAGGCACTGATGTTTGGACGAGAAGGCCTGGCTTGCAGTCTCCGCTCTAATTCATCCCAAAAGTGTTTTTTTGGGTTGAGGTCATGACTCTGTGCAGGCCAGTCATGTTCCTCCATCCCAAACTTGCTCATTCATCTCTTTATGGACCTTGCTTTGTGCACTGCTGCACAGTCATGTTGGAACAGGAAGGGGCCATCCCCAAACTGTTCCCACAAAGTTGGGAGCATGAACTTGTCCAAAATGTTTTGGTATGCTGACACCTTAAGACTTCCCTGCACTGGAACTAAGGGGCCAAGCCCAACCCTTGAAAAACAACCCCAAACCAAAATCCCCCCTCCACCAAACTTTACACTTGGCACAATGCAGTCAAGCAAGTACCGTTCTCCTGGCAATTGCCAAACCCAGACACATCCATATAATTGCCAGACAGAGAAGCGTGATTTGTAACTATAGAGAACATGTCTCCACTGTTCTCGAGTCCAGTGGCGGCGTGCTTTACGCAACTGTATCTGACACTTTGCATTTCACTTGGTGACATAAGTGACATAAGGTTTGGATGCAGCTGCTTGGCCTTGGAAACCCATTCCATGAAGCTCTCTACGCACTGTTGTGCTAATCTGAAGGCCACACAAAGTTTGGATGTCCTTACCTATTGACTCTGCAGACAGTTGGCAACTTCTGTGTACTGTGTGCTTCAGCATGTGCTGACTCTGCTTTGTCATTTTTTGTGGCCTACCACTTCGTGGCTGAATTGCTGTTTTTCCCAGTTGCTTCCCCTTTGTTGTAATAGCAATAATAGCTGACCGTTAAATATTTAGTAGCAAGGAAATTTCACAAATTGACTTATTGCACAGGTGGCAACCTATCACAGTACCACATAATAAAACAAGGTGCAGCGCTAAAATTCTGTAAAAGCTCAATACAATCAAGTGCAATGAAATCACCAATATTGAAATAATGGAATTAATCGAACAACTTAATGATATAAACTGAAAATAGTGCTAATTAAAGTGACAATTCAATCAGCACAGGCAAACCTATAAAGTGACACAGTGTAAATGCTCATCCGTCAAAGTGAAAGATAGTGCCAATGAGGTGACAAAGTCTGTATATCAATCAATAAACGTGAAGTCTCAAATAAAGGTGATCCTCTTTGTGTCTTCTGGCAATAAATAATACAATTACGTACTCACCAGATGCACAATAACATCCCGCATTTGAGAATAAATATATCTCTCCATCCTGCAACCACTGAATTCTGGCTCCTCCTACTCTCCCTCCCTTCGGCATTCCGTGTCTGTAGGAGGAACATGGAGAGATCAGTTCATCTATAAGCAGCCACTCCTCCTATCCAGGCATGCTGGGGGGGATACACGGACCCTCTGCAGCATGGGGCCTGGTCACAATTGTGAGCCCTGTGACCCCTGTAGGTACTTTCCTGACACTTGTTTAAAGGGAAATTACTGGTTTTGCCACCATACTGTATTTCCAAACAGTACAAAAGTGTTTGTAATACCTAGCCATAAGGCGGTATAGCACCCTGCCTCATATGACTCTGATCTGGTAGTAGTCACTTACAGAAACAGCAAATAATTAGCAAAAGAGGAAAGAAAGCTTCTGAACTACCCCAACCATTATGCCAAAGACTCTTAAACAAACCAAAATATTAAGCATGCAGGAACCGCCCTTATTATATTTAACCTTGGGAGTATCAAGATGTGTACCATGATGATTAAAGGAAATAAAAGAGGAAAAAAAACTTTAGTTACTGTGCATTTATATTTTTGTATTTTTGCATTTTTTGATTTTTGCACAGGAGACTGGAAACCAACCAGAAGAAATGGAGATGGAGATGATGTCAAGTACATCACCGCCAGAAAAGACAAAACACAAATCAGCTTCTCCAGACCATCAACGTCTGGCTGTGCCAGCAACCTCAAACCAGTGCAATAGTACTAACCCTGCCTCCCCAGCAGACAGTCCCTGCAAGGCTGAGAAGAATGGACACCCAAAAGATGGTGCACAGTCTGCCAAGACCTTTGAAATTCAGTCAATGCCCAATGGGAAAACAAGGACATCCCTAAAAACTATGAGCAAAAGGAAGCTTTCACAGCAGAAGGAGAAGAAAGCCACACAGATGTTAGCCATTGTGCTTGGTGAGTCCCAAGAATATTCCCATATTTTATTTGACTTACTTTTAGATAAATGTGAGGTTATATTTCCCATTTTATCTGTTTGATCATTGAGCACTGAAACATTAAGATTGATTTTAATTCATATTTCTGAATGTGTTTAGGTTTCTTTACATTGGAGTTTCAAAATTCATGGTTCCTTATGATTTAATAAGGTTACTAATATTATTACCACTCTGGTTCTTTCATACTGGAATATTATGCATTTAATAATAAGCTTCTGTGTGACCTCACTGATTGCAAATCTGAGAACAAATGGTGGCAAGATACTGCTCACTTATTTGCTCTACCGTAGAATCATCCAGCTCATAACTAGGCAGATTTAGCTATAGGATAACTTGACCAAAACTAATTTTAATTTACTAAGTACTTCAAAGAAGAACTGATTAGTCCTTCAATTACTATTAATTTCTATACTCCAAATAAACATTTTTTTTTCCAGGGGCTGTTTCATTACTGAGGTACAGTTTCAGGTGGGAGGATGTATAGATAAGGACATGTTAAAATCTTAAAGTTGTAAACCCTTCCATATACCCAGTCAAGTGACTGGCCTCAGGTGATACACAGAAGTGAAACAAATAATCCTTCATAAAGTGTACCTGTCTATCTGCAGTCTTCTCTTCTCTACGTCTGTTCAAAATGCTGAATTTACAGCTTCTCTGAGAGTCAGAAAAAAGTGGGTGGAGAGCTGAGGCTACACTCTGCAGAGCTCAGTGACGAAAGTTTGGAGAACTGATTGGAGAGAGGAGAAACACCCCCTCCACACAGCTCACAGGAACAGAGATGAGGCTGTCAATCTGCAGCTGGTCCCTGCCCCCATCATCGATTTTCTTTTGGTGTTAGAATTGAATAATGCTGATAGCAGAGGAATGAAGTAACAGAGAGAAATTACACTTAGTGCTCTTAATTGAGATAAGTACGCACTACAACCACTTTAAACATTACTAGCCTTAAAAATGCTTACTCTTCCCTTCTTCCAACATCTATGCAAACTAACCTGTTTAAAAAAAAAATCATAAGCTTACCTGCTTTTAGCCCGCTCCAGTCTGGTCATGTGGTAGTCAGCTGCGGGTGCATGGAAGAAGAGGGGGTGACAGCAACGGATGGGCCATAGGAAGCTTATGGGTGATGCTACCACTCCAGGCTTTTCCATCCATTGTTGAGCACCCTTTCCTTTCCCCTGCAGCTGGCTGACACAATGGATCGTGTGACCGGACTGTGTGCCCGCTGAGAATAGGTAAGTATATGAAACTTTTTTATACAGGTTAGTCAGCATAGGTGTTGGGGGGTGGGGGGATTTTTAAGGCTAGTTAGGTTTAAGATGGAATTTCACTTTAAGGGGAACCAAAATATTTACTATCTTTCCCTCTCCTCCCCTAAAATGGGTTATACAATTATAATTTGTATTTTAGGTGTTCTCCTATGTTGATGCATTTTCAAAAAATTTAGAATGAACATTTTAGAACAAATGTATAGGTAAAATTTAGAGGGAGGAAAAGTCATTAGTAACTGTATTTATTAGATTTTGCCCTAGAGGTATGTAAGCTGCCACTGTGCTACTGGATGCTTTAATACTCCATTGTGTACTTAGTACTTATTTTCTGGTTTTATACTGAAATGCTATATTTTTATGTTGTAATTCAACTCATTGTTACATATTCTTCAGTTTATATTGTAAATTTCTGAGTTAGTGTTACCCCTAGCAAAGAAAGCTTCTGCACCAATTTATCAAGGGTGTTTAGGAAAAAAATTTCAAATATTGGCACTGCTATCCAGTTTTTACAGTGATGTTCACAAAGTTCATTACAATTCATAAATCTTTATTGAATGTGGTAATTTTATTATTCCAGAATTGTAGATATGAGCACTTCTTAGGACCTAACACCAGTCCACAAATTCTTTCAGAAATCCCAAATTGCTTGGCAAAAAACCAGAATTGGCAGACTAAAAATTTGTTCTCACTGTGATTGTTCCACTATCGGTTACAAAGGCAGAACATTTTTATTGTAATTGTTGGTCAAAACAAATCTTTTTTTTTAGAAAGGATGATCTACCTTTGCATATATTCTAACCTGGAACCTACATTTAAATTTGTCTGACTTCTTATTATTATCTTTGTTTTGTTTGTTTCTTACTCAGGTGTCTTCATAGTGTGCTGGTTTCCCTTCTTTATAACCCATATCCTAAATATGCACTGCAACTGCAAGATACCACCAACCTTGTACAGTGCGTTTACATGGCTTGGTTATGTCAACAGTGCAGTCAATCCTATTATTTACACCACATTCAATGTGGAATTCCGAAAGGCCTTCATAAAAATACTTCACTGCTAGAACAGTTATCGGACTGCTTCACATGGACAACAAAGGCAGAAAAGGAAACAGAGCCCTGTGAATTTTGGGCAGGAAACCCCTTCGGTGTTGGGGAACATAAAGTCACACTCATGTGCACCTGTATTAGCCATGCACTACACATGTGTAAGGTTGGTGAATAGGAACCTGGAAGTAATTCTACGAATGAAACCTAGCATTAAGGATTATGAAATATAAAGGGTCCACTAAATCGGAGTGGGATGTTTGATAAATTGCCAAGGCAGCTTTAGAAAGTGGCAAGACAAGCCTTAACAGTAGTAGACTTCATCTTTAGTACTACGTTCAAGAAGAGGAACAGTTGGATTCAGCCATTAATGTTGACAAGATGACATTTTCAGGACCTATATGGATGTCATTGCAGTCTCACCAAAGACACTGTCATTTTTTATCTGATCTTTGCAATATAAGAAAGCTTGCATCTGCTGAGACTATACTTTGAATCAGGGAACTGGGGCTTTTCCTTTGAGTATTAAGACTTTACAAGGAATTATCTATTTTGGACTTTCCCTATACTGGTCATCTCCAGCTTAATGGGTAATATGGTGATCAATGCAACATGAAGAGCAAATTTTGCATTGTGGTGACAAAACTGTAAATAAAGAATGTTCTGAAAGAAGCCCAAGCCAAAAAAATAATATTATAAATATTTAAAAGCTGTCTTGCATGGTGTGTGTCATATTTAAAATTTATCATTGTCGCACCATGACTAAATAAAATGAAATAGTGAACCATACATGTAATAGCTGTACTGGGTCCTTACAGAGGGCAAATCTTGTTTTCAAAACATCTCGTGCCAATTCAAATAGCATTTAAAAGAAAATAGAAAAAATAAAATGTTTACTAAACCTTTACCGCTCTAATTGTATAAGATACCTGAGTAAACAATATTATGCCTGTGGCTTGTGTTTTTGCCAGTGTAACTGGTTATAATTTGTTTTCTATGTGCCCGCTGATAATATACTTGGTGCATTCTTCAACAACATCAATTAAACCGGTGCTTGATGTTGGAATTAATTATTAATTGATTCTGCCTGCTCATGAAAAGCCAATCAATTAAAATTAATCATAGCAACACATCACGATTATTAATACATACCTAAAAATAGCATAAAGCATCATACAATGCACCCAGTTTGCCATTTTAAACTACTACTATGCTTAGATATTAAAAATTGTTCCATATTTTGTAAAACGTTACACAGGAAAAGGTTAGAATGAATCAATGGATTGCAGGCAGGAAACATATCCTACCTGTTTTTTTTTATTATTCTGGGCTTGTTGTACTGTATTAAGCCACCCTTACCCAAAAACTGCCTTGTTACAGATACTCTGGTGTTCTGAGAACATCTTGTGTAGTACTTGAATGTATGGTGGCTGTTCCCAGTCCAGCTCACCACAACCTTCTGAATTTTTGGAGGGCATGAGGATACACTATCAAGCCGGTGACTTTATCATCATCTTTTTCCGCTTCAACACTTACACCCTGACAGATAAGTTACTTCAGTCCCATCTAGAAATCACTTAAAAAAATTGTGGGGGGTAGCTTGGATTCATCAAGGGCTAAAGCAAAGTGCGTAGATGTCCTGACTGTAGCACAATTGCATTGTTTGGTTGATGAAAGTAAACTGCCTTGAGTTGCTGTGGACACTGTCGCCTTTAAAAATGTAAACAAATACTGCTGTGTTAAAAATCCATGTATAAGACTGACCTTAAGCCTGGTGCACACAGGTAGATTCTTAATATTCAATCTGCTGAACGAAAAGAAACTGAGGAGCCTGCTGTACTAACTATGCAATGTTAGTAAAGGGATCTCCCCACTGAGCTATTGTGTTCTCACAAGGGGACTGCAGCCCGCCAGGACACTCCAGTCAGATTACACTGATTAGATGCTAATCAGCTGCTGGTTTTCCATTTGACAGAAGCCCACCAGTAGGCCAGCTTCTGTCAGACAGGCTGCTGTACACACTGGCCAAATGTCAGCCAGTTTCTCTTGAATCGGCCAATACCAGCAGATATATTCGGCCCGTGTGTACCAGTCTTTGCTCTATCGCAGCTGATCTTTCCATGTTTGCAGAGCTGGAGTTTGTGCTACCAGTCTTTCGTCTTCCAGGACTTGGGTGTGTCGGTTGCCTGTGCCTCCAGCTGTGCTTCCTTTTCCCTTAGCTGCCTCACCCCTATTGTGTCCTTGCAGTTCTGAAGGAGCACACTGGTGATGTAGTTTCCAGGAGAAAGAGCCACAGCAGGCAATGAGGGAATATATACACCCAACACACCTGAAAGTACTGAATGTGGAATAAGCACAGTGGCTTAATGGTCAGCACCTCTTTTTTGTAACATTTGGATTGTCTACTCAAATCCCAACCAGCACACACTCTTTATGGAGTATTCATGTCCTCCCTGTGCTTGTGTGGTTTTCTTCCAAGTATTCTGGTTCCTTCCACACTCATGCTGGTAGGTTAATTGTGAGGTAGGGACCATAGATTGTAAGCTCTTGAGGGCAGAGACCAGTGTGATTGTACAGTATGTAAAGCACTGCGTAATTTGCTACGCTGGTGCTATATAAATACCTGTAATAAATAAACATTTTACACAGCAGTGTTGGTTTAAAAGTTTTTGTTTTTAGGTGACAGCATCTTATTTAAAAGGGTGGAGTCAGAATTAATGTTTGAGTATTATATAACAATTCTCAGCATATATTATATAGAGAAAGTCATTTTGGTTAATTTTTTATCTGGCCTCGTTTATTTGAAATTTAAAGATGTTAAAAGCACTCTGAGTTTGAACCCTAAGAAGACAGATGTGCCTGCCTTCTCACACATGGCTGTCTGTCCTTTGTGTCTGCAATAGACTCCTGCTGCCTTCTCTGCACACTCCTCTCCTTCCACACTACTGTATGAGTACATGTAGAAAAAGGAGGTATATCAAACACTAATTATAGCACTTAATGAAATTATATCCAAACCTAGAGCATAAAATCTCAAATTAATTTATAAATTCAATAAACAAAAAAAAACCCAATTACAATAAAGTCACTACTAGTATACATAACAATTCAACCAGCTCTCTGTTTAAATGTTCAGCCTTCTGCTCATCCTCACATACCCCTACAGCAGTAATCTCCTAGTGCTGTTGCATTATTATGAGCCAAGAAGATCATGGGATCTTGTCAAGAGTGCTGACTATACCCACCCTCATCCATTCATAGCAGCTGTTCTTTAGCTTTCCGCAGTGAAAATAACTCTATGAATAGAGGAGGCATACCTTTCTTTAATCCATCTGTCTTCCTTTCTTAGAAATATTATAAAATCTCCTGCTCTACCAAAAATAATATAACAAATAATTGCTGCTTCAAAAAAACTCCTAAGCATTCAAATTTAGTACTCAAAAGAGTTGTTCCTTAAATAAACAAATGAAAACATTGTGAATTTATGAAAACCTATATGTGCAAAAAATGTGTAAGGAAAAAATATCATAAAGTCATATACAAAGCTAAAAAAAATTAAAGGAACACTTTTTAATAGTATAGCATTAAGTCAATTAAACTCCTGGGATATTGATCTGGTCAGTTAAGTAGTAGAGGGGGTTGTTAATCAGTTTCAGCTTCTTTGGTATTAATGAAATTAAGAAGAGGTGCACTAGATGGACAACAATGAGATGATCCCCAAAACAGGAATGGTTTTACAGGTGGAGGCCACTGACATGTTTTTCCCTACTCATCATTTTCTGACTGTTTTTCATTTGGCTAGGGTCAGTGTCACTGCTGGTAACATACCTGTACCTTACAAAGATTGCACAAGCAGTCCAACTCCTCCAAGACGGCACATCAATACGTGTCATTGCCAGAAGGATTGCTGTGTCTCCAACACAGTCTCAAGAGCATGGAGGAGATTCCAGGAGACAGGCAGTTAATCTAGGAGAGCTGGACAGGGCCATAGAAGGTCCTTAACTCATCAACAGGACTGGTATCTGCTCCTTTGTGCAAGGAAGAACAGGATGAGCACTGCCAGAGCCCTACAAAATGACCTCTAGCAGGCCACTGTGTGAATGTTTCTGACCAAACAATCAGAAACAGACTTCATGAGCGTGGCTTGAGGGCCCAATGTCTTCTAGTGGGCCCTGTGCTCACTGCCCTGCACCACAGTGCTCGCTTGGCATTTGCCACTGAACACCAGAATTGGCAGTTCCGCCACTTGCACCCTGTGCTTTTCACAGATGAGAGCAGCTTCACCCTGAGCACATGTGACAGACATGAAAGGGTCTCAATAAGGAGTGGAGAATGTTATGATACCTGTAACATCATTCAGCATGACCGTTTGGTGGTGGGTCAGTGATGGTCTGGGGAGGTACATCTATGGAGAGATGCACAAACCTCTACTGGCTAGACAATGGCACACTGACTGCCATTAGATATTGGGATGAAATCCTTGGATCCATTGTCAGAGCCTATGCTGGTGCAGTGGGTCCTGGGTTTTTCCTGGTGCACAACAATGCCCAGCTTCATATGGCAAGAGTATGTTGGCAGTTCCTGAAGGATGAAGGAATTGATATCACTGAATGGTACCCACCCTCACTTGACTAAATCTAATATAAAAACTATGGGATATCATGTTTCAGTCCATTTGATAATGCCAGGTTGCACCTCAGACTGTCCAGGAGCTCAGTGATGCCCTGGTCCAGATCTGGGAAGAAATACCCCAGAACACCATCTGTCATCTCATTAGGTGCATGCCCCAACATTGGCAGGCATGCATACAAGCACATGGGGGCCATACAAACTACTGAGGACCATTTTGAGCTGCTGCAATGAAATTTAAGCAAAATGGACTAGCCTGCTGCATAATTTTTTTTCACTTTGATTTTTGGGGTATCTTTGAATTCAGTCCTCTTGTAGGTTGATAATTTTCATTTCAATCAAATGACGGGGCATCCTTACGTTCCTAACACATTACCCAGTCCATATC